GAACTTGAACTCCGTCAAAGTAAACACGACATTAAATTACACCTATTAATATAACACAAGAGGCTTAAAGCAGCCAAAGCAACTCGACAAACTTCCATCTTTTCTTGCGTTGGCTAGAACTGTAGAGTTAACTCTACTTTAAAGTGACCCTGTGCTGACTGTGTTAGAGAAGGGGCTTTAAGGAACTGGCCAAATGAATGGAGGAAGCATGCAGGAGAGAGGAATAAGCTAAATAATACCCCTTATTCCTCTAACCCAGAGCATTTGACCATTGCAGTTGGGAAGGGGAGCGCAGTCGGCAAAAGGCCTCAGCGAGGGCAGTCGGCAAAAGGCCTCAGCGAGGGCAGTCGGCAAAAGGCCTCAGCGAGGGCAGTCGGCAAAAGGCCTCAGCAAGCACTTTCCCCCCAAGGAGTCAGCGAGTACAGTTTCCTAAGGTGTCAGCAAATAGAGAGTTTCCTAAAGGTGTCAGTGAGTACAGTTTCTTGAACCACCAAAACACACTTGGAAACTGGAGGAAGCTTTTGATGGGAACAGGCTGGTCAGACCCAAAGTCACAGTACAACCAGAAAACAGGTCTCTGAGTCAGCACAAGTGTGTTTTGCGGTTATACCTGCAAAAGTTGACAACTTTAGGGAGTCAAATAAATCTTCTAAAATTTCACAATTCATTTGACTTCATTTTATCTCCAGTTGTTTGATATTTAAGCATAGAAGAAATATAAAAGTACACCAAGACACTAAACTGTAAATTTCAACAAGGTTGGAAAAAATTGGGTGTTTTAAAACCTTTGACTAGCAGTGTGTGAACGCGGCCGGGGAGCCCAGCAAAGGTTCCTATTAATCTTAAGAGCAGACCGAGCGAAAAAACAATTACACAGCTGTCAGCACTCATGATGGACAAGCTGTAATAAATCCTCTCACCACCGTGACCTCTGCAATCTCTCCCATTAATGGCCCCATCTTAGCTTTATACACCCCCACAATTGTGGTCACACTGGAAAAATCGATCACGTGACCTTTCATCTTTACACACCTCCAGGCCATGGCCCGGTCACATAAGACTTGCTGAACAGAAATACAAATCCTCTGGCAGGTAAAACAGTAAATACTGTATATGTATTTGAATTGTGTGCTGAACTTGAACTCCGTCAAAGTAAACACGACATTAAATTACACCTATTAATATAACACAAGAGGCTTAAAGCAGCCAAAGCAACTCGACAAACTTCCATCTTTTCTTGCGTTGGCTAGAACTGTAGAGTTAACTCTACTTTAAAGTGACCCTGTGCTGACTGTGTTAGAGAAGGGGCTTTAAGGAACTGGCCAAATGAATGGAGGAAGCATGCAGGAGAGAGGAATAAGCTAAATAATACCCCTTATTCCTCTAACCCAGAGCATTTGACCATTGCAGTTGGGAAGGGGAGCGCAGTCGGCAAAAGGCCTCAGCGAGGGCAGTCGGCAAAAGGCCTCAGCGAGGGCAGTCGGCAAAAGGCCTCAGCGAGGGCAGTCGGCAAAAGGCCTCAGCAAGCACTTTCCCCCCAAGGAGTCAGCGAGTACAGTTTCCTAAGGTGTCAGCAAATAGAGAGTTTCCTAAAGGTGTCAGTGAGTACAGTTTCTTGAACCACCAAAACACACTTGGAAACTGGAGGAAGCTTTTGATGGGAACAGGCTGGTCAGACCCAAAGTCACAGTACAACCAGAAAACAGGTCTCTGAGTCAGCACAAGTGTGTTTTGCGGTTATACCTGCAAAAGTTGACAACTTTAGGGAGTCAAATAAATCTTCTAAAATTTCACAATTCATTTGACTTCATTTTATCTCCAGTTGTTTGATATTTAAGCATAGAAGAAATATAAAAGTACACCAAGACACTAAACTGTAAATTTCAACAAGGTTGGAAAAAATTGGGTGTTTTAAAACCTTTGACTAGCAGTGTGTGAACGCGGCCGGGGAGCCCAGCAAAGGTTCCTATTAATCTTAAGAGCAGACCGAGCGAAAAAACAATTACACAGCTGTCAGCACTCATGATGGACAAGCTGTAATAAATCCTCTCACCACCGTGACCTCTGCAATCTCTCCCATTAATGGCCCCATCTTAGCTTTATACACCCCCACAATTGTGGTCACACTGGAAAAATCGATCACGTGACCTTTCATCTTTACACACCTCCAGGCCATGGCCCGGTCACATCCCAGTGTCCAGCCTTGCATAAAGTTGGTATAGGTTTTTCTTTCCTTCTATAAAAACAATATACAGAACTGACCCCCCACTGACTACATACTCAGCAATTCCAGATACATAATGAGAATGAACATGCCAGAGAACGAGCTAGTGCTTGACAGGAAAACAATATCTCTAGCTCTCAAATGCCACCCACCCCATATGATACGAGACACATGCATCTCTGTAATGCATGCAGGGTCTTTAAAAAGGAGATCCTGGGCAGGCAATGCAGCATAGGGATGTGCACCATTTTTGGCAATGCAGGCACCACAACATACAGTGGTGTGTCAGCATGTCTTATATGCACTGAAACACATATGTGTTGGCACTATAATGCTATGGTGGGTGCGAGTGGCATTCAAGTATTTGGAGTGCGCACACTATTGGCCATATAGTGACCTCCCTCAATCCTTCAATGCCTGAAAGGTGTGGCTTAAGGAACCGATAAAACATAAGATGACATTCAGATGGGTTGGGTGACTGTTGGCACCCGCTTTGATCATTCAGACAGTTTTGAGCACCGTAGCAAATCACATTGACAGCCCTCCTTGCCCCATAAGCATGTACCCTCAGCAGAGCCAAGCATACATTTTTAAAGGACACCTTGGCATGAGACAGACCTCAGACCTCAAGTCGTTCCTGTACATTCAATTGTTCACATACATTTATGGTCAGTATTAAAAGAGAACTATGGGGGGTAAGTGTTTTTCCCCATAGTTCTAGGGGTCACGGGAGGACATATACTAATGTCCTCCTGTGACCCAAAGTTCAGTATATCGCGAGCTACAGCTTGCGGTATAGTGAGACCGCCACAGCCGGGATGTATCCCAACAATAAGGCCCCGTTCACATTGAGCGATTTATCGCGCGATTTTTGTAGCGATATCGCTCATATTTCCGCACTATATCGCTCTATGTAGCTTCACCAATACAATTCAATGTAGCTGTTCACATCTCGTCGCTCAATGTCGCTCAATATCGCTTGTAGCTCGTCGCTGGTAGCTTGTCGCTTCTACATGACCCTTTTTTAGAGCGATTTTGAGCGATATTGCTCCTGATTGCATACAGCCCAATAGGAAGACGTCGCTCAAAGTCGCGCGATTTGCATGTCGCTCAGTGTGAATGGGGTCTTATGTTGAGATCCACACAGGCCCCCTCCTCTGTCCAATCACAGCGGGGAGGGGGGAATCCCTGTGGGGTGACTGACCGTCACTGCTCTCTGCAGGGAGATGATCAAGAAGTGAGCGAGCGATGGTATGTGTCACTAGGAATGAGCTCAGGTTTGGACCAAACCCGTTCTGAACCGTAGCTTCTCCACAAACAGAAAGAGGTCCTACGAACATAGAAGGACGCTCCTTCCGCTGCGGCTGGATAATTCCCCACCCGCAAGAGAACGTAAGCAACGGGGCAGGAAGCATTGACATCATAGACCTTACACATGGCTATAGTTGGTCAATGACGTGACTCCCAATATGGCCATATAAAGTCAGTGACATCAGCACAGGCCTCCTTTGGCATGGCACTTCTGTGTGCGGAGGAGCTCAGGTTTGGACCGGGTTCAGTCCAAACCTGAGCTCATCCCTACTGGTCACTTGTTTCCATTTAAACCCTAGTCTTCCCTTTCGAGGACCACGTGACCAAGTGCCTAGATGTGTGGTCAGCCTAATCCTGACCTGTCAGCCAATTAATCTAGTAATAGGTTTTTAGGCAGCGGAAATGAGAAGAGAAAGATGTACAAACTCCATGCAGATAGTATGAAACCTAGGACGTAAGCTCTACATTAACGTCCAAAGACATCTAAATGGTGGAATCTACATCTTCCAATGTTATTTATTACCTAGATATCTTTCAGCATTCCTGTAGCAAAGGTAAAGGTCTCTCCTTTAAGATGCCGATGGGATTACAGAGGGATTTACTATACAATGAAATACCTCTGTCTATGATCCTTGCCCTGTCCTAACGACAGTTATGTATCCAACAAAATAAGTTACTGAAAGCTCCGTATACGCTACCCACCCCATCTGTCAGCATGCTTCCAGATTGAAGCACAACCCTAGCTACATGTCTTCTTCTTTGTATTGCATTGGGTGAAAAGGTTAGAACTTCTGCAAGGCTCTACTGCTGCACCTGACAAAAGGGACTTCCCCTCACTTCCTGTCCTGGTGGCACCCCGTGTCTGAGTGTCAATGAAAAGTGAAAGGAAATCTTCCCAAAACGGGGCAAAGATCACATGACCATGCAGAGAGGAGATTCAGGGAGAACCCATGTGCCATTCACCAGATCTGCCAAAAGGGTTTAGACCAGGGATAGGCAACCACGGCACTCCAGATGTTGTGGAACTACAAGTCCCGTGAGTCACTGCAAGAGTCTGACAGCCACAGGCATGGCTCCCGGAGGCAGAGGCATGTTGGGATTTGAAGTTCATCGCTGGAGTGTAGAGTTTGCCCACCCCTTATTTAGGCAATAGTGAAACAGTCTGCAGCAAAAGTATTTTAGAAGATGTTACAGCGAGGGAAGTAGTGAAGGAGTTAATTGGCGGGTCCAGTGATCTTGAGGTGACACTCTGCATACAATCTCTAATAAAAAGGTGGAATGTTGCTTTAACAGCAACTCTAGCAGTCTGCCTGATCCTTGAACACACAGCGTGAGCTCTCGCCCGGCAGGAAAAGGAAGGAGGAAATGCCACTGACAGTTTCTGGAGCTTGCTTAAAACCGACTGTCCTTCCAAAATAAAGCGGAGGGGGGGAGGCAGGAATTCGCTGCTGGAAACGGCCCTTACCTCATATCTTCCAGAAGATCGCATTCCGCCTGGTGCTTGGCTTGCAGCTTTGTCATCTGTTCGGCCTGAATGTTCTTCAGCTCTTGTGTAACTTTCACCTGAAATAAATGACAGAACGGCGTTAGAAAAATCCGCTTCGAGACACAGGAGCTGACGCTCAGAACAAAAAACATGCACCACCCGAATATTGACTGCTGGGCTATGCAGAGGTGGAGAAAAAAAAAAAAAGACAATTCAGAGTGTAAACATCAATACACAAACACACATACATATATATTCTTAGATTGTAAGCTCCTTGAGTGTAGGGACTGCTGTGGATGGTACAGTATGTGAAATAATGTAAAAAAATTATATATATATATATATATATAATTTTTTTACATTATTTCACATACTGTACCATCCACAGCAGTCCCTACACTCAAGGAGCTTACAATCTAAGGTCACTATCTCACATACACACACACACTAGGGCCAATACAGACAGGAGCCAATGAAAGCAGAACTCTGGGCATACATATTATTAACCCTTGCAGTGTGGCTACCCCCACAGTGCAATGGTTATGTGCTCATTTTTTTTGTCTAAAATAAAAAAAAAGTTATTACTGACCTGAACCCTGCAGCCAGCTGTGACATTGCTCCCTCCAGCAGACAGAATGTCACTCTGTGTCCTCATGTCCTATACACTCTGTATAGAACGTGATGGATTACGGGACCTTAGACCATTGCAGCAAAGGGGAAGCGAGGCTGGAAGGACCAGTCCAGGGGTGTGGACATTTTTACAAAAAAATGCTTGCCCAAGGGCTAAAGCGGGAGCCCAATCTACTTGTCTTGATATAAAAAATAGTTTTAATCAAAACCGTATTTAACTGTGCTAAGAAGCGCTTCTCACCAAAGAGTGCTTGCAATTTGCGAGCAAAATTCAAAATGCATAGGGCAGGGCTCTGCTGGACAGCAGTATAGGGTACAGATTGTACACCCATACTGGCAGAGGGAAAGGACTGTTCGCTGAAATGTAAGTATAGCGTAAGGGGGACC